ACTGAATTTAAATTGACATTAATTTACTATCTGCAAATCATGTGTGACCTGTGGAAACTATATATAATATATCTCTAAGAATTTGCCATACTGACCAAGTTGAAATTGTAGATGTTATCTTGATCATATCTTGAATTATAATTAGTAGATGTCTAAAATATAATTTGTGGTGGTCAAGTGAAATCTATTAAATGCTAAAATTAAAGGGCTTGCCATTTGTTTGCTGTTGCCACCAGTAGTGTATGTCAAGTGTTGCTGTCTGCCTGAACATTCAGCTTTAGCTTTTCTACAAACAGTGGGAGAAATAGCAGCAACTACAGTTGACTTGCATTTGTCCAAGCAGACTATATGTCTTAGTGTCTGAAGGGACTCTTTCTAATCATTGTGTCACTGTGATAGGCGCAAGATACCAGCTTTGTATCAAGTGTAGCTCAGTTGGTATACTCCCAAACAGACAGCTATGGACACATCACAGGTAGTCTGTTTATACTAATTTCCACTTGGAGGATGTATTCCCCACCGTGTAGTGTTCACAATAAATTGCGTTCACCCTATGATGTACTTGCGTTCACCACATGTACGTCAGTCAGACACTGACTCGCCCATCAGTGGAAGGGTTGGGATGTGTGTGGGAAAATAGCTTTGGACAGAAGCATGTAAATATCCATATAATGTGTGAAAATAATGTTGATTGCAGGTGGAGACTGGAGAGGGGTGGATGTGGTATTTGGCCTTTCAGTGGGTTAATGTGGATGAGTAGAGGGATGTGGGGAGGTATAAACTATAAGTAGTAGAAAACATGCATATTAAACAGAGAATGTAGTTTCATCACACCTGTTGTTTATTGTAGACATTTCATCTTTTTTTTCCCCAAACAGCAGACAGAAGCTGTTTGAGGAGGCTTTCAGCTGCACTTGAGCAATGAAATCCTGTGGGAGGAGGGTGTCATTTGTTCAGCTGTCTGTTTGCCCAAAAGCACACTCTATATCTCAGACACCATAGGTTTTTGAAACATGGCGGAAAAGGTAATATCATTCATGAAGCGAAGGCAGTTAATGGATATGGTGTGCTCCAATGACCAATCAGGAAGCTGATTTGAAAACCGTGATCAATTTCCAAATGCCGTGTTTGTGCTTGTGTCTGTTAGACGTTAGACAGGTGCCAATGACAGTGTAGGTGAATGCCCCATCTAGAGTTAAACAGCTGCTAATGACAGAGTTAGGAAACGGGCTAATGTTAGCCTCATTAACATACTGGATTAGAGCTACAAACACACTAGGGACGGACCCAGGTAGTCACACACAGTCTCTTATTCTTGCACACACACACACACACA